ATTCTTTTTTTACACAGTACAGTAATACAGTTTTTCACAGACATGTTTAAACACAATAAATATAAGCAACACATTATTCAATGCTTTTTACTTTTGCATTTACTTCTAGATTGATATATTAAGTTGCTCAAGCAAGTGGCAAAACATTTAAACTACTAAGCTTACATTATCACAAACTTACCATTGACAGAAATAGTCAGCTCTACTGCCTTTCCTTTTGCATTGAAATCTTTATTACAAGCAATCCTGCCATTCATAAAGAACTTTGTTTTGCTACCTCCACAAGTGCCATCTATTATTGCCTTATTTAAAAGTGCTCTTTCCCTTTAAACCTAGCCAAAAAGCCTCGTGTTGACTGTGAAACACGGTAGACTTTAATAATATGCATTTATGGTGTAATTACTACATTTTCGTGTCAATCCATGTTCCTATTTACTGCAAAAAATGCGCTGTTACTTTAATTCAGTGCTTGCAGCGCAGCAAAAAAGCAGTAGACTCGGTGCGGAAACTATGCATACGCATTCCTATGCATTCCTCTTATAAGTTATTTAATGAAGAAATATGAAGGTGAGTACCTCACCTTCAGCATTATAATTATTTCACCCGTGCCCGACAGAGACTGAGACGGTGCCTCTGCATGTCGTGCCAAACCTCTCACGGCAGCGTCATCAGCTTGAGATCGGCCTTTTTAGAGACCGCCGATCAATCATCCCAACATGATTATCGGCCGATAGTGATCAGTAGCCGATCAATCGGAGCACCCCTAGTTAGCAGGGCTGAATAATAAAGTTGGCCTGCTGACCTGAGGTCACTGTGAGTTTAAGAGATTGTGTTGGTTGATTTAGGTTTTTTTGTTTTTATTTTTGTTTTTGTTTTTACATTGGATCAAAAATACAGTAAAACCAGCAAATATGTGACATTTTATTACAATTTAAAATAAATAATTTTAATGTACTTTAAGTTGTAATTTATTCCTTTGAAGGCAATGCTGAATTTTCAGGAGCCATTACTCCAATATGCAGTGTCACATGTTCCTTCAGAAATCATTCTAATATGCTGATCTAGTGAACACATTTCTTATAAATGTTGGAAACTGTATTTTTGTGGAGAAGATAATTTTCAGTTTTTTGTTGTTGTTGTGGATTAAATAGAAAGTTCAAAAGAACAGCATTTATTCAATGTATAAATTTGTAATGTTTAGCATTTACATTGTGTTGGCCAGTGAAATTTTGGCAGTGCAGGTAGTAATCTGAACTTCGAGCAGAAGAAATCTTTATTGTTGAGTTCCTGTTGACTTTATTTATTTTCTTTCATTCAGCTTCACTTTCTTTCGAATGAGCAGTAATGGCAAGGGAAAGTAGAGAATATTTAATGACAATACAGATAATTGAAATGGTGCTTTTTTTCAGCACCATTTTCTTTTTAACTGACTGTGCTCTATATGAAAACTTATATATTGTTCTTGTTTTTGCAGAGCAATGCCTATACGGCCATGTCTGACTCCTACATGCCCAGTTACTACAGCCCCTCGATAGGCTTTACCTATTCGCTGAATGAAGCGGCATGGTCTACAGGCGGTGATCCCCCGATGCCTTACCTGGCCTCTTATGGACAGCTTAGCAATGGGGAGCACCACTTTCTCCCAGATGCCATGTTCGGCCAGTCCGGGGCACTGGGGAGCAACCCTTTCCTGGGACAGCACGGCTTCAACTTCTTCCCCAGTGGGATTGACTTCCCTGCCTGGGGGAACAGCAGCTCTCAGGGACAGTCCACACAGAGCTCAAGTTACAGCAGCAGTTACGCCTATGCTCCTAGCACGCTAGGAGGTGCTATGATCGACGGACAGTCTCCCTTTGCAGCCAATGAGACGCTCAACAAGGCCGTGGGAATGAATAGTTTGGATCAGGGCATGGCGGGGCTTAAGATTGGGGCTGGTGACATGGCACCCAAAGTTGTTGGTTCTGGACTTCCTGGAGGGCCATTAAGTCAGGTATCTGCAGCTCCCACCATGCCTCCCGCCTCCATGGCTCCTGCTAAAACTGCGTCTTGGGCGGATATTGCCAGCAAGCCGGCCAAACCGCAGCCAAAGCTGAAAACCAAGGGGGGACTTGGTGGGACGAATCTGCCGCCGCCTCCGATCAAACATAACATGGATATTGGGACTTGGGACAACAAAGGGACTATGCCTAAACCAGCAGCCCCACAGCAGACTTCCCTGCCCACTAATGGACAGCCGCCAAATCAGTCGTCTCCTCAACCAGGTGCTACTGCCGGCGGGGTGCCGCAGCTGCCCCTCAGCAATGGACAGTTAATGCCTCCCACTGGTCAACTCGGCCAGCACCCTCTTCCTCCAGGTTGCCAGCCTGGTGCTGTCCCACCTCCACTCTCCCAGGGCCCTTCCGCTCCCCAACCCTCCCAGCCAACCCGCTGGGTGCCCCCGCGTAACCGTGCCAATGGCTTTGGGGATGCAGCGAGCGGACCTGGGCAATCCCCTCCCAATTCAGGAATGGGTGGTGTTGCTGTGCCATCAGAGCCCCACCCAGTTCTGGAGAAACTGCGCATGGTGAACAACTACAATCCCAAGGACTTTGACTGGAACCCAAAGCACGGTCGCGTCTTTATCATCAAGAGCTACTCTGAGGACGACATCCATCGCTCCATTAAGTACAATATCTGGTGCAGCACAGAACATGGCAATAAGCGTCTGGACGCTGCTTACCGTTCACTGGCCAACAAAGGGCCGCTCTACCTGCTCTTCAGCGTGAATGGCAGCGGGCACTTCTGTGGTGTGGCCGAGATGCGCTCACCCGTGGACTACAACACTTGTGCAGGCGTGTGGTCGCAGGACAAGTGGAAGGGCCGCTTCGATGTGCGCTGGATCTTTGTGAAGGACGTTCCAAACAGCCAACTCCGGCACATTCGTCTGGAAAACAACGAGAATAAGCCAGTGACCAACTCCCGTGACACACAAGAGGTACCGCTGGACAAGGCACGTCAGGTTTTGAAGATCATCGCAAGTTACAAGCACACCACCTCCATTTTTGACGACTTCTCACACTACGAGAAACGTCAGGAAGAGGAGGAGAGTGTAAAAAAGGTAATCTGCAATGCCGTTGCTCCGTCAGGAATATAAAGCTGATTATTGTTTATCCAGTTCTTCACAAAGTTCTTTTGATGTCAGTTTTGAAATGTTAGGACCACTGTTGTTCAATATTTTGATATTGTGAATCTGAAGTCATGCATTTATTCTCTTAGAAATGGAGTTGTTTACCTAATTCAAAAGCATACCCATTTACATTAGGATAATGAATAAAAACACAGTGTTGTTTAGAAATTGCAACCTCAAATGTTGCATATTGTTGCTGCAGGTAATGGAATTGCAGATTTTGTGGTTTGTTGCACAAATGGCTAAACTACGGAGAGCGAGATTATAAGTATACATAAAACGGTTGTTCTCCCAACATTTGCAGAGTCCGTGTACACCAATTCCCTTAAAAGGGTAGTTCACATGGAAATAAAATTTATCATTTACTCTCGTCATTCCAAACCTATTTGAATTTCTGTTGAACTGAACCTTTTTGCATGAAAAAAAATAATCAAAATATCTTCTGTTTTTCATTGTATGGGCAAAAATAGGTGATATATGTATGTGTGTATACGTGTGTGTTCTGTGGAAGGAAATCATACAGGCTTTAGGGTAGAGACACTAAACTGACACCAAAGAACTAGCGCTGAGGAAACCAAACTTTGGCATAGAGTTGTGACGGTACGAGTATCGGTACCAAACGGTTCACGGGGCAAATTCCAAATGGAAGTGATCATCCATATCCCCTTGGAGTGGGAAGTTTGGAGTGAGCGGGGCACGTGCGTGCCATTATGTAGTCGTTTGGAATGCACTTGGCAAAGGGAGTGACGTAATTTCCTCATTATCTTCAGCTGGCATGTTGCCATGACAACGCAGTACGGTGTTCACTGTCATAAATGTATTTTTATTGTTGTTAGCATAACTGTTGCAAATAAACATACATTTTATATTTTAAAATATGCTATATAATATATAAAAACTAATATATAAAACTTTAAAATAAAATGTATTATAGATGAAAATTCATTGTCACGGGAACATGCCAGCTGAAGATAATGAGGAAATTACGTCACTGTTTTTACCAAGTGCATTCCAAACGACTACATAATGGCGCGCATGTGCCCTGCGCTCTCCAAAGTCCCCACTCCAAGGGGATAGGGATGATCACTTCCATTTGCAATTTGCTTCGTGAACTGTTTGGTACCGATTCTCGTACCGTCACACCCCTACCTTGACATTGCTTGCATCGGGGAAAAAAGTTGCACTAGAACACAATGGACAGACTACAACCGCCAACTGACGTGTACTCTCTACTGTTTCCAACTAACGTCTACGCTTCCCATACCAGCAGGTGGCTGTAGTCTGTATTCAGCGTTCAAACAGGGAAACTTGAAGAGCTAGAACAGTGGATATACAAAGCAGTTTTACCATTGTTTACATCAGCTGCGCTCATTACTGACAGATTACTTCAACGTCTTGATTCCACAAAGCCATGGTATTATTAAAATGATCCTCTGGTCAAATGAGGTGACAAGACAAGTGACAAGAATGACAACAAGTGTCTGTACATTCTTTCTTTACCCAGTCATTGGTTTGCTTTTGTAATTTCTGATTTTTTTTTTCCGTGTATTTTCTAAGCTGAATAGCCAATTGGAGTTGTCTTTCTCGCTGACGAGCTCCATCGCCGATTCGACATGCAGAATCGTCCAAAAAACTAAAGCTGACCGATGCTCAAAAACCACCCGACATTGCCCGACGCACACCACTTGTCCTGGGCTTTAAACAACATGAGTAAATGAATTAAATTGTATTATTATTTTTGAGTGAACATCCCTTTTAACTCATGGTGGTGTTACTTTGGGCAAAAGACTGACAGGCCCTATTTTTTCTCCACAGTCTTACAACCAGATATTTTCAGAAATTATTTTGGGGAAAGATTTAACCAAGGATTCAAAAAGAGGAAAAACAAAGCTAAATGAAGACTCTTCTTTTGATTTCTGTTGACCTAAAAGACTTTGAACTTGTAGTAAAAGAAATGACACGATTATTCATAGGACTACAACTTAATTCTATAGGATTCTAATCGTGAACCCAGTAATTCTCACCTTAATTAGGGTCTTCAGGATCACTTTAAATTTAAAGGGAGGTGTTTTTGATTAGAGTTGGAGCTAAACTTTGCAGGACAGTCGATCGCCAGGAGCAGGGTTGGGCACCCCTGCTCTATAGGCATTTCTCTGTTAACTCCTCCTCTTTATTGGAGCTGAAACCATCCAGTCAGCAGTCAGGACGTGCAATGATCGTTGCCTTCTCAGTGGATGTTCCATTATTGGTTAATTGGCCACTAGTCGGTTCAAGTCTCATTACCTTCTGAGGGAAAAAAAAAAAAAGTTTACCCAGTTTCAACCAAGATTATAAAATGGAGAAAAAAAAATTTAATGAATGTTCAGGAATGTCCAGTTTTTTTCTGTTCCTGTTTTTTTTGTGTGTGTGTGTGTGTGTGTTGGTAATAGAGGGTGTTTGGCAGGGGATGGTAAACGGAGAAGCCGATTTGTTGAGTTAAGGCTTTTGCTCATGATCAGTTTTATAGTGTACAAAAGGGGGCTGTGTTTGAGAGTTGTCAGCTTATTTTCCATTTACTCCTTTTTCTTCTGCAAGTTAAAGAAACAATGTTGCTATGGGCTGCTCTCCTCCCGTAATTTTTTTTTCTTGTCTTTCTCTTCCGTTTCTTAAGTCTGCATTGAGGTGGGCCTTGCACCCTCTCTCTCTCATAATCAGTTCATTAAAAATAAATGTGGTATACTCGGCAGAACATGTATGTTGCATTTTCCCCTTCTTTGATTAAAAACTACGTCATGCACTAACCTGTGTCCCAAACTGCCTGGTCCCCCTCCACCCAGCACCCACACTCCTCTCCTACACTAGCTGCCTGCACACTTCACCCCTTCTACTTTGTTCATGTCAGTGCATTGAACGACTCTTGCAAAACTGCTGGCATTTAGCAGTGTCAGAATAAAGATGCTGCACAAAGCTTCAAGTGTGTTTGCTTTCTGAAGAAGTGAATTGATAATATGACCAACAATTTGGTTGGTCTGTTCTTATTGGCAGTTTGAGGGTTTTTACCTGTATCCATGGCCGTTGTCGCAACAACAATTTGCCTTTCTTGTGAAGAAGCCATCTGTCAGAAACCTTGAGTGAAAAGCCACCTGAATAGTGAATTAATAGTTGGGTTAAGTATGGTTAGACATACTTTTAACTTATTTCAGTTAAATCATTCATTACCCCATAGCTTAATGTTTGAGCCAGGTCAAAGAAATGTGTCATGATAAAAATGCTCTGGAGATTCTCACAAGCTGAAATGTGTTCTCTGGATTGACCAGCTTTTCTCACATTGAGTCACCTAGGTATTGCATGAAAGGGTTTGATTATTTAAAACGCTGTAATAAGAAATTCTTTATAATTTGTGAGTGATCGTGTGGTTTTTATCCGCAATATTGATTAACCGGTTTACTTCTCAGGAGCACTTTCTTAATAAGCCTCTCGGTGGCGCTGTTTCCACATGTCACCTGAACACAGTCTATGGGTTTTACCTTGAGGAGTGTGTAATCAAAGCTTGTATGTGTTAGGAAATCGCCAAATTCCTCCATCATTGTTTGAAAAATAGAGTAATTTTACATTTATCAAAGTTGCATGTCAGCATCCAAAAATCACAGTGGGCCGCCTTCAATACTCTTCGAGAGAAGGACAGGTTTAATCCTAAAATGGCGGCACTGTGTGGTAATGGACATGTTTGTCCATCAGGGGGCGTTAAATACTTTTTTACGCCTCCTAAACTGATGTAAACGACCCGTTTGAATGAAAAGAATAAGAACTCGCATTTATGACTAGTTTACATTTTATTTGTTACAATTATGTACTTTTTATTCCGTTAATTTGAGACTGTCTACGTTTTTTAACAAAAGATCGTTCCAAATTAAATTACATAACTAAACCCTTTAAAAAGGCATAGCTCACTCAAAAAAAAAAAAATTCTGTCGTTTTCTTACTCTTGTGTCATTCTGTATGACGAACTGTATGGCGTTCGGTCTTCTGTGAAACATAAAAGGATATATTTTGAGAAATGTCTCACTTTTTTTCTTTCACAGAAGAAAGTAGGCCTAAGTCATCCAGTTTTGGTATGACACAAAGGGTGAGAAAATGAAGACAATATTTTCTTAAAAATCCTCCTTTTGACCACAAAGAGTCACAAGTAATATTGCAGTTCCCTATACAATTATAAAGAATCAAACATGTTCCACATGGTGAAGATTTTGTGACCATCCTTCACTCTCAGAAATAAAAAGCTGTCACTGGGGGTGTACCTTTTCAAAAGTACCTAATTATGTAGCCTACATTTAAGGTACCAAAATGGACCCTTTAGGTACAACTGTAGCCTACCTTTTGAAAAAGTACTGCCCCAGTGACAGCTTTTGTAGCCTACCTTTATTTCTGAGTGTTGTTTGTATTGTATTTCTGTGTGCACAACATTAAACCTTTCACTTTGTTTTATGAGGTAAAATCATCAGATACATTTCACACTATAGTGTATATGCCCATTTTAAATTTTACTATCCAACGGTTTTGAGCTTTGGTAATTTGTCAAGGGCCACTGTGTCAGTGAGGTCACAGCCATCAATCATTTAAACCTTTTAATTGACTCTGTGGTAGAGCTCTGCCTCCTTAAGTGCTAAAACCAAGTGTTTACAAGTAGCCTTATATGTGTCTGAATCAGTTCTTGTCTGATGTGTGTTTGGCTAGAGTGTGTATGTATTTGTGTCTATTTTAGAACATGAGATATTAACGTGTCAATTTGGGTACTTTTGTGTGTGTGTGCGTGCGTGCGTGCGTGCATTGTTGATATTGGGGGAGTTTTACTTATGAGGGAGAAATAAGATGCAGCACATGGCTCAACCTGCCGTCTGTCTATACAATGCTGCCTGAGGGGCCCTTCTCTGACCTCAGCCTCTCTCTCCCCAGGGACCCCAAAACCTCTGGGGATCCCCAGACAACATGAAGGTGGGGAGGGGAACGGCACGTGTCTCTGAGACCATCGATGCGGTGTATGTTTAAGACAGATGCAGTCTAGTCTGTCCATGTGTCTACTGTCATTCTTCTCTGAAAATAGAGCAAACCAAATAGTGTACATGCCTGCTGATGTTTACATTTTACTTCATTTTTTGCTGTTAAAACTGTAGGGTGCCTTAGGTTTTAAAGAAAATCAGAGCCCCAAAAAAATATTGGGAAAATTCGTATTAAACCATTTCACTTTAGCATGAAAAAGACTAATATATAGGTTTATCCTGCATACTTTTGGATCAATCGCTATAGCAGTGCAGGCCACTGGAAAGTCTGCAGCGATTTTCAGGCTTTTAGATCTCATCCGTGTGGCCGCTGATAACAGGCTGCAC